ACACACACACACACACACACACACACATAGATATATATATATATAAAGCACAAGTAATTTATTTTGTCTTTGGTTAAATATGAATTATACTAACCCTGTGTTTATTTTGCTTAAGAATATTACATGCATTATTATAACTGGAATGCACATTTATGTTTATTAAGTCAGAATTACCATCTTAAAATCATAGCTCATAACATAATTAAGCATTGAGTTTGTCATAATTTTATCCTGGGAATTAGCATGATCACTTGGGGCATTATTAGTGTTTTGAGGATATCAAGAAGGGCCCAGAAATTTTATGACTATACATGCAGATACTCATTTTTATCTTGTCCTAATGTATCCTCAAGATACCAAATTATCAAATAATGCTGTTTCGATTGTGAGTAAAATGGTACAACTTTGAAATAAATTTATTTACAAGTCTTTGCTTTTTGAATATGGAAGTAGACTAATAATCAGGAGTTTGTTTCATCTGTACAAATACAAAATGAAGATCAGAGCCTCACCTGGTGGTGCACAACTGTAATCTCGGCATTTGATGGGGGAGGGGAAGGCCTAAGGCAGGGGGATGAGAGTTCAAGGCCAGCCTTGGCTATAGTGAGTTCAAGGCTGGCTTGGGCTACATAGACCCTGCCTCAAACAAAACAAAAACAAACCAGAATAAATGTATTTTAGGTGTTTCTTAGTCTTTAGTGTTGACTCAGTTTGGGCTTCTGTCAGCCTACACACCCCAATTCTTGTTAGGAAGGCTTTACTTCTTTCCTAACATCTTATATTATGGCCTTATTATAAAAGGATAGTTGCTTTCTTTTCAGCATAAATGGTGGAAAATTTTAGCCTCTTACTGTACCACTGGCAAATTGAAGTTTTCAGACAACTCAAAATAACTTGCCCTTCTGATTTGAAGTGTGATTATTTGCACACCACCAAAGCAGGTTAGTTATGATACAAGAAGAATTTCAAAAGAAAGGATTTGGGCAGGTAATGCGTGCGACCTTTTTCATATTCCTTGCACTTAATGTTCTGCTTCTTATGTTCATATTCCTGCTTCTTAACGTTCTGATACTCTCTGACATCTTTTGTACTATAGTCTAACTCTGTTTCTTAGCCTGCACAACATTTGAGTAAAACACCCAATATCTCAAGTTCCCGAGAAGCATTTCAGTGACTGTGTATGTGTGTTGCAGTAGAGGGGTAAAGACTGATGATCATTTTTATCTTTCTTTCTTCCTTTCCTGGGGATCAAACCCAGGGCCTTATGAATGCCAAGCAAGCACTCTATCACTGAGCCATACCTCTCTCTCTTGTATTTCTTATAACTGTCTTCCACCATGTTGTGTTCTCTGGAGAAAGTAGCTGCCCTTTCCTCTGTTACCGTTCTCTGTTCACTCCAGAGCTACTTGAGTATTCATTACTTATTTATCTGAAACATATGGTTGGATGTTGCCCAAGGCATAGCTACAAATGCCTCTAGCCTTTGGTTCTTGCCAAACAGCATTGTTAGTCTAGTAAAAACCAACCTTAAAAAATTCGAAGAACAAATTTCAGTTGCCTGAAATTTTTTCAATTTGATTATGATGCAGTGTTACGGAAAATACAGGCTGAAGATTCTCATCATTTGGGATAAAGGGAATACAAACCATTTTATAATAAAACAATAATGTAAAATGTTGGGGAAGGAAGAGCAGAGTCTTCCTTGACAAGATTGGAGCCACTGAGCCATCTTGGTGCTATTCGTTGTCTATTATCTGAAACCTGACAGTGTGGTTTGCTTGAAGCAAAGTATCCTACTCACTACGGACAACTGAGATAAACTGTTAATTTTCTTGGTGAAAATAGAGTTGGTGGCACATCCTTTGTTCCTCTTATTGTACTGGGTTAGTTATTGAATCAAGCATATGCTCATTACTGTGCATGTGCTAGTTAAGGCCGAAGTAAGAACATAGTTACAGTTGTTAGGATATGAGCTTACTAGTTGAGGTATCTGTAAGGGATCCTCCAAAACAGCAGTGGTCCTTAAAACTGAGCAGGGAGGCAGTGTAAGTGCTACTCAGCTTCGGATCCCGAGCATGTAGCAGTAGTATCTGCACAAAGTACACATGTGGGAAGTATTTGTCAAATGAATGGATGGGTTAATGAGTGCAAAAAAGGAATGTAGGAATGAATGCCGAGTTGCCTTTCTCATCCATAGGAAAAAGATCACTGTAACATAAATATTTATATAACCCTTAATCCATTTTAAAACCTCTCTTGATACCCTTTGAAGTCTAGTTAGGTTAAAAGGACCTCTGCATCAGGGTTTGGTTTCATTGCTGGTGATCCTATCATCCTTTAAAAACATGACTCTCAACAATTAGTGTATAAGGGCTGGGGGCATAGCTCAGTGTGTAGAGCTCTTAACATCCTGTGTTTAATCCCCAGCATCTCTGGGATGTACGGTAGGTTCAGATCTTTAATTCATGAAAAAAAAATTTAATGTGAGCACTTCTCCTTCCTGTACACTTCTGTTATCTTCCAGTCTCTGGAAAACATTCTAGCCTTTTTCCAGTTTTTTCATTCTTATCCATATGTAGGAACAACTTGGTAGTCAGGTGCTCTTACCCCTTGAGGTAGGAACAACTTTGGGATCTGATAGACTTAACCTAATCAGAAATCTGTAAACACGCATGAAATATACTAATATTGGTAATAACAAACCCAGAGTTAAAGCATATAAAGACTATATAGTACAAACTAATACAGAACCATAATTTAAGGTATTGTTGTCTATATTTTGTAACTGACTATAAAATCCATATTTTCTCTTCCCAGTTGTCTTATACATGTGCTATAAGAGAGAGCACTGTGTTTCTTATACAGATAATTCCTCTGATCAGTTTCATTCTATTTCTGATAGGATAGGAACAAAAAAAACGGTGATGCATGCCTATAATCCCAGCACTCGGGAGGCAGAGGCAGGAGGATCTCAAGTTTGAGTCCAGCCTGGACTACATAGCAAGATCTTGTCTCAAAAAAATAACCAAAAATAAAAACAGAAAAATAAAGGTACCCAACATAAAATTATTGAGCAACCTTAAAGTCATCATAAACCACTCTAGTAGCAGCCCAAATCCAGGTGGTCTAATTTGAAATATCTTAAAATCTTAATAAAAAAGGAAAAAAGATCTTAGAGCAGTTTTTCCAACTTTAAGCGTCTGTAAAAAAAATTTGTGGAGAATGATTATTTATACTTCTTTTTTGCTCAGAGTGATTTAAAAATGTAAATATGAATACAAACTAAATCATTTTATCCTCAGACGCTCACATATCATATAATATGGTGTTGTGTTTGTATATAACCTTAAGCATATCCTTCCATGTGCTTCATTTTAAAATTTTAATTTACCTAATAAACTCATTAAAACAATTTTTGGAGATGGAGGGGTTTTCTCCCTATGTTGTCAAACTGGCCTCAAACTCCTGGACCTGAGTGACCCAGCCTTGGTTACAGGTGAGCCTATCTATGGGTGTGTGCCCGGGTCCCACCTTAAAATTACATCTTGAGCAAAAACGTTCTTGGGAAAAATAACTTTTATCACAAAAATTCAGGTGTCATTCAAGTATTATTCTCTGCTCAGTTCTGGAATTCTATTTTGATTGACAATTTTAAAAGTGTTTTTTGTAACTTTTTGGTAAGCCTGGATTTCTTGTGTAATTAGAATTGTGCTTTCTAATATGTAAGTGAATGACATATGTAGGGTTTCATTTTGTTTTGGGACAGGGTCTTTTTTAGATATAAGCAAAAATATAGATGGAATTGGTATATAATACATTCCTATTGAGATGGGGTCATTTTTGGTTTTTGTTTATTTATTTTTATTATTGTTGTACTGGGGGTACATTGTAACATTTACCAAAGTTCTTAAAATGTATCATAGTTGAATTCATCCCCTTCATCATTCTCCTTTATGAGACAGGATCTTGATAGGTAGGCCTGTCTGGTCTTCAACTGTAGATCCTCCTGCCTTAGCCTCCAGAGTGCTGGGATTATGGCTGTGCGCCACCATTGCTGGCATAGTTTTATTTTAATCTTCAAGATGGAGACCATTGATGTGCTTTAAACGTTTTTGCATGTTAAAGTAGTAATTTGATATGGTGGCTTGCATTTTTAAAATAATGCCTTAAGTTTTTTTTTTTCCTTTTTCTTGAGACAGACTCACTTAATGTAACCCAGGCTAGCCTCAAACTCTATATCCTCTTGCCTCTGCTTCCTGAGTGCTGGGATTACAGGCATGCACCACCATGCCAAGCTATACGTATACGTCAGTATTTTTATATGTTTAAATAATACAAGCTTCTGTTGGTATTAGAGGAACTTGGGAAAAGGGTAATTAAAAATAGTTAATTTCTTTTTGTCTTGAAGATGCCAGAATTCCAGAAAAGTTCAGTTCGTATCAAGAACCCTGCAAGAGTGGAAGAAATTATCTGTGGTCTTATCAAAGGCGGAGCTGCCAAACTTCAGGTGACTAATTATCAAGACGTCTTTGTTATTAAGCTTTCTTTAACATTCTTGTAGACTTACTCATCTATTTTGATAAAATCTCAGTAAAGCACATTTAAGTAGACTTTTTTTTTTTGCCTTTGCTTTGGGAATGTAAAGTCTAAAAATTATATCTAGGATAGGTCTAAAACACACAGAAATTTGAAGCCTTGAAATAAACTTAGGTCTTCTGTCCCTCCTTCCCACTCTGGTCCCCTGCTCTTCCCTCTCCTCCCTTCCCTCCCTCTCTACGCACTATGCAGCTCAGGCTTACCTGGAACTCTTTGTGTAGTCCAGGGTGCCCTTCAATTCTCAATCCTCCTGCCTTAATCTCCCAAGTGCTAGAATTCTGTGCCACCATTCCTGTTAGGTTTTCTTGTCTTTTCTTCCTCCTCCATCCTTGCCTCTCTGCCTCTCTTTTCTCTTTTCTTTTTTTTGTTGTGCCTCAGATTAAACTCAGGGCCCGCCCCAAACTCACTTTTCTTTAGTAGTAAGCACTAAGCTAACTGTTACCATGCACAAATGTTAAACTGTTTTAAGAATAACTTAAAACTATTCAGTTTGAAGTTCTTCCATATTTTAATTAGTCATTGTTCAAAATAAAATGTAACCTTATTAGGTTACATTTTAATTTTATTTATTCTTTTTTTAAGAATTTGAATATTCAGCCAAAAAATTATTCCTTTTTAAAAACGTTTCTTAAAAAATTATATTTAACCCAATCTCCTACCTTTTAAGAACTTTCAAACTGTTTTGATGTATGTCATGAATTGATTTAATTTACCTTGAATAACAGGATAACTAAGAACTTCATATGAGTTAATTACTTCTCCTGCATTTTTATAGTGAGCAAGTAGGTTGAAGTGATATGATGGTTTACCTCTGGAGAGAAGAGTAACCATGTACCCTACAATTGCAGATTCTCATACTAATTAGATTTTACTTGGTACTAAAGATAGCGCACATAAGATGACACTTTTAATTAAGGTTATTCCCAAGGTTTTATATATGAACTGCATTCGGAAATTCAATATAACATATGGGACGGGGCTGGGGACCAAGCACAGTTCATGCCTCTAGGAAGATGTAATACATATTTGCATAGCAGAAGTTCTGGTTGGTTATGTTTACATAATTCCTTTTCCCTCTTCTTACAGATAATCACAGACTTTGATATGACATTAAGTAGATTTTCCTACAAAGGGAAAAGATGCCCAACATGTCATAGTAAGTGTGATACTCTCAAATAAATGACAGTAATTATTATATTTTAATATTTTTTTAATTTGTATTACCTGTGAGGTGACTGGGTTTTTTTTGTTTTTGTTTTTGTTTTGGCAGTGCTGGGGTTTGAACTCAGGGCCTCATGCTTGTGAGGCAGGTGCTCTACCACTTGAGCCACTCCACCAGCCAAGTGGTAGAATGTTGGGTATTTTCAAGATAGGGTCTCTTGAACTATTTGCCTAGGTTGACTTTGAATGGCAGTCTTCCTGATCTCTGCCTCTTGAGTAGCTAGAATTACAGGTGTGAGCCTCCAGCACCTGGCTGACTGGGTTTTTAAAACCTTTTGAATGTTGGAAGCAAAGAAACCTGCTTTTTCTTATTATATTTTGAGGGTTTGTTTTTATCCATGGTTATTTGGTTATTATCATGTATAATTTTGATAGCAAAGGGAATGGAGACTTAAAATGTTTTTCTCCAAATTAGTCTTTATTATTGAAGGATGTTTAAATGGATGATAAACTTTGGGTTAAGCTAAAGAAATGGCATTTATCAAAAACTTTAGGCTGGGGATATAGATCAGTCGTAGAGCACTTGCCCAGCTTGTGCAAAGCCCTGGGTTTGATCTTCAGCACCATCAAAAAGAGAGAGAGAGAGGGAGAGGGGAGAGGGAGAAAAAAGCCTTTTTTTTTTTAAAAATAAATGTAGTAATATCTAACATCATCCTAAAATTATTTATAATGGAAGCAACCTCAACCCTGCAGACATGGTATAAATTAATTCTGAACTGCCCACATGCCAAAGACTCCACAACCATTATGAATGAAACTTACGGAGAGTTTCAATTGCATGGAAAAATACAGACCACATTGTGAAATGAAAATTGAAAATTACAGATTTGGTTGATCTCTTATCTCATTAATAATACATAAAACTTTTAAGACTAAAAGAAAATATACTAAAATATTAGTAATTTATTTTACAATGGTAAAATTACAATTTTTCTATTTTCCAGTTTTTACATTGTGTTGTCTTTTATTTAAAAAAAGTTGTATTTCTAAGATACATTTCTTGCACTGGTACAGTGCCTGCCTAGCAAGTGTGAGCTCTGAATTCAAACCCCAATACCGCCAAAAAAACAACAAAATAAAAAATGCATTTCTTGGATCCATTTTTTTTAAATAAAATGAAATAATTAGTATACAATTTAGTATTTGAAGACCTTGAATTGCCTGGCTCTGTAGTGTAAGGAATCACTAAATTTCAGGTTTTGAAATCATCAGCTTCTCTGGCAAGGCCATGTAAATTACAGCACCGAGGCCAAAAGTTTCAGTCACCGTGTTGTAAGGTGACTTGGCTTTAAAATAAAAGGAGCAAGTTATTCATGGTAGTAGCATCAACCATAGTATTTTGTTTCAGTGCCTGTTTTGCTTTCTCTCTTTAGATATCATTGACAACTGTAAGTTTGTTACAGATGAATGTCGAAAAAAGGTAAACCCTACCCATAATGTATGGTTACACTACAGTGCCTTCATTGCACTTCATCAGGTTCATTTCACGTAAATAAGAATGGATACCAAGTGTTTATAGCCATATCTGGCACAAAATAAGCACTCAATAAATAACTGCGTTTATTGTATGAGTTACATGTTTTCAACATATCTTTAAGGAAACACTAACAATAGCCTTTCAACAACAAAACTTAGATATGAAACTTTTAAATGATTATTAAAATATTCTGGTGTCCTTACATTAACTGGAGAATTAAAATACTTTGTGGTTTTATGTAGTTTTTGCTCCTTTCAATTGATCAGAATATTGCTTCAATACTTTGGGTAAATGTGTATCTTAACAGAGTTAGACTCACATTGTCAATCACATTTAAGTACTTTTTTATGAGAACTAAAGTTGTTTTGTAGTGACAATCTCATTAATAGTTGCTTCTCCCAAATTGCTGACTTGAAAGTACTTTACAAAAGAAGGGCAGCTTTTTGCAAGTACACTTGTATGTAACCTAGGAGTAGCAAAGATTTCTTCAATCAGTTGTTATATTAGCCCAATTTAATCTTAGACCAATTTAACCTATAGAGCGGTTTATGGAAAACACTCATTTACATTGTTTTACTTTCTATAACAAGCAGATTAGTGACAAAACTGTATAATCTTCATGACTGAGTTACTGTCTTTTCTAGTTAGTGCAACTAAAGACACAGTATTATGATATTGAAGTTGATCCTGCTCTTACTGTAGAAGAGAAGTTTCCTTATATGGTAGAATGGTAAGTGTGTATCAAGTGATTGGAGCATTGAAGAGCTAATCAAACAATGCTGCAGTTAAATTGATGATTTATTTTCCCCCTGCATTACACATAAGCAGATCCATCAGTTATATAAGTTAAAGCACTAAAATACAACAAAATGAACTCTTATTTACTAATCACTCTATAGTCTAGGATTTAAGTTGAAATTCAGTAGGAATAAATTAAAAATCCTGTATTTAGTTGGGCACAAGTGGCTCACACCTGTAATCCTAGCTACTTGGGAGGCTGAGATCAGGAGGATTCCCCATTTGAGGCCAGCCCAAGCAAGTATTCTTGAGACCGTATCTTCAAAATAACCAGAGGAAAATTGGCTGGAGGTATGGCTCATTCTTTAGAGTGCCTGCCTTGCAAGTGCAAAGCCCTGAGTTCAGACCCCAGGTTTGAATAATTTTTTTTTAAGGTATATGAACAAGATCTGGCTTAATGTGCAAGGAAAGAGAATTAGGATTTTTTTGTTTGGTTTTGTTGGCAGTACTGGGGTTTGAACTCAGCTTTTGCACCTGCTAGGTAGGCACTCTCTTCTTGCTTGAACCAGAGGGATGTGCAATCCAAGAATTAGGATTTAAAATGACTCTGAACACCAGGATCCAGCAGGGGCTACATTACAGAGAAACAGACCTCTGATGGTAGTTGTGTTCATCAAAGTGTACCATTCTAAGAAGACCTCCCTGAAAGCTTGTGTGGAGCCCCAAGACAATGTTATTATATCTTGGCAAACTTTGAGGAACAGAGGGTCCTCCAGGATGATCAGAGAAATCAGAGCCATCAAATTGAGGAACATTTCAAGGAGTAGAAAGTGCTGTGAGAGGGAACACTAAATTTTCAAGAGACCAGGAATACTTGATTTCATTAACCCATAGCTCACAAGGTGTACCTTGTACACTTTATCTGTGTTTTTGGTATTAAGTTTTGAAAAGACTTGTTCTACCTGAAACAGAAGTGGAGCTAGAAAAATTGATTTCTGCATGATAAAAGGAAGAACTATCTATCAACTAGAATTATCTAGCAATGGAATATGCTTCCCTTTGAGAATGAGCTCACCAACTGATAGAAAATGAGGCAGAAGGGCATCGTTGGGAGGTGTTGAGGTATTAGGTTCTAGCAGCTCCTTACAGTGAGAGACTGTAGTTATAAGTATTTTTTTTACCTAATTTACAAAGCAGGCCAAGCCATACACAGTTTTCCATTCTAAGGATTTTTCTCTTGCTCACTAGGTTTTAGAAGTTTATTTCATAAAGATATTTTAGAAGATATTTCATGAAAACTTTAAACTACAAATCAATAAAAAAAAATAAATAAAAAGACAGATTACAATCAGAGAAATGATTATGCTACCCTAGGTTGGATTGAGTTCTTGTCTGTAGATTGAGGAAAGCCATTGTTTTCATTACCTATTGACATATGTAAACTAAGCCTGAGTTTGGAAGAACTGGGAAATGCAGTAAGAACATGCACATCACACTTTGAGACACATTGGGATATCCATTCATTAGTGATGAACTTCATTCTCTAAGATTTAAATCCAAATATGATGAATGAAAGTCACTGTCTCATACTCAAGAATTCTTTGCAGCCCAGTGTGGTGGTGCACCGCTATAATCCCAGCACTCTGGAGACTAGACAGGAGTATCACTAGTTTAACACCAGCGTGGGCTACATAGTGAGACTTTGCCTCAAAAAACCACACACACACTGAAAAAAGAAATGTTTTGCAATAAAAATAATACTTTTAATATATGTGCTTTTTCATCCTTAAACTTCAGGTATACTAAATCACATGGTTTGCTTGTTGAACAAGGTATACCAAAAGCTAAACTTGGAGAGATTGTGGCAGAGTCTGACGTTATGCTCAAGTAAGTTTCTTGGTTTTGTTTGTTGTTGTTGTCATTGTCTATAGTGGTTATTGTCTACAGAATTGAACTACAGTAGACATTTGGTATCTGAGGTTATATGGTTCCAGAGAGACCGCCACTGAGGAAAAACCATGAATGCATCAAGTTTAAACACAGCTGACTAAAACAAAAGCAGGACTGACAGAGCTTCTCCGTATCAACTGAGCTGTGTAATGCATGCATGGGAATTTTTATTTTGGACACACTTGGTCAGAATTGTGTGTAGTAAATCTGCGAATAAGGCAGGCTTATTGTTCAATGTGTATTAAAACAAACAAACAAAAAAAACAAGCTGTAAGATAATACCATGCCATAAAATAAAAATTCCAAACTCTGCCACCTGTTACAAAGTGGGTGGTGGTTAGATTGGGTGTACATAAGGAATGACAGGTTAGATTGAGTGTAGGTATTACAGTCTGAGGAGATTTAAGTACTACTGTTTTTCCTTTACAGATAAATTTCAAGACTAACTTAGAAATTTATACAACCAAAACCATTCTGAAATTCTTTAGCAAAACACTTTTAAAAGACTTGAAATATGAAAGGAATATTTATAAGTTGGAAAGGATTTAGCTAAGTACCTTGTTTCTAAATTTATCTGAGTGTACTTTCTAAATTCTGACTTCTTTGAAAGCACATTTACCAGAAATGTGTCTTAGTATATAGTTAAAATACTTGTATTGTGTAATTATAATATATAAAGAGCTTTCAGTGAATTTTTAGCATTGTTTAACCTGAAAATTTTCAACTCATTAGGCAAATATGATGATGCTACTTTTTTATTTTTTATTTGGATGTTAAAGTGATTACTTCTGTGGAGGAAACTGTTAAATTGTCAGAAAGTGTGTGAGGATGGCTAACTGAGTATTTTATTCATAAGCATTGACAAGCTTATTAACCTATAGTTGAAGAAGAGTAAAAATGGAAGACTGTTTTAAGTTCTTGGGAAGGGAGCTGGAAGGAATAGAAGGAAAACAGCTATGTTCTGTTGCTCTGCTTTTCTGACAATAGGGAGAGTAGATGAGCAGTCTGTCAGGCAGATGGTCTTCCAGCTCTCCCTAAATGGACTTTTCAAGGTATGGCTTAATCACTTGCTTTTAAATGGTGTAAACTGAGAACCATAGGCTTATTCTTGTAATTCAGTGTGAGTCTAAAAACATCTAGGTTGTACTATTAGAATTGACTAAAAGGAGGATAAAGAGTCAACTGTTGCTTGAAAAAATTTGTACTGTTAGTATAGACATCAGTAATCACCCTCTTGGGTAGTATTTTGAAATGAGAATCTTACTGAGCCATAGAACTAGGTAGGAATATTTTGCTTTTTACCTCCTAAATGAAAAGTAGATATATCTTGCTTTTTAACAATCATTTGAACCTCCACCCTGCAGGGAAGGATATGACAATTTCTTCGATAAGCTCCAACAGCACAGTATCCCTGTGTTCATATTTTCGGCTGGTATTGGTGATGTACTAGAAGAAGTTATCCGTCAAGCTGGAGTTTATTATCCAAATGTAAAAGTAGTGTCCAACTTCATGGATTTTGATGAAAATGTAAGAAAATCAAATAATTCATCAGATTTTTGTTTTGGGGTTTTTGTTGTTTGCTTTTTTTGAGATGGGATCTCTCTGTATAGCCCAGACTGGCCTTGTACCTGGAATTTTCTTGCCTAAGCCTCCCAAATGGCCACACCTGGCTCAGAATTATTTATGCAATATCTGAAAGCATTTTAATCATGTAAATTCATTTGTTCTCTCGTATTATTTGATACATATTCGTTAAGTTAGATGAAGTCAATAGGTATATTATGAAATGCCTCATCTTCCCTGTTATTTTAAAAAGTAATATACACTTCTTAAAGTTTTGTTCACAAGTTAATAGACTAATAGAGAACTTCTCTTAAAGTAATTTAATGCAGCAAGTTAAAGACTAAACATTCATAGGTAGGGAAAAAAGAAGTGAATTAGAGCTGACATTATTTGGATGAGTTTTCTCCTAATCATAACAGTATATTATGAAATACATAAAACAGAATCTTTTGATTAGGAACCAAATGAAAAGTAATAGTTGAATTCTCAGCTTATTGTGTTTTACCATTTAAAGTGATCACTTAGGGCTGGGCACCTATGGCTCACACCTGTAATTCTAGCGACTCAGGAGGCAGAGATCAGGAGGATTGTGGTTTGAAGCCAGCCTGGGCAAAGCATCCATCATAATAAAAGGGCTGGTGGAGTGGCTCAAGGTGTGGGCCCTGAGTTCAAGCCCCCTTACGGAAAAAATAAAAATAAAAAATAAAGTGATCACTTAAAAAATAAGTTACTTCCTGGAACCCTTATCTCTCATGGGTGTGATGTACTTACGTGCTTTGAGATCTCTAGTGTCAAAGATACATTTACAAATATGAATCTCTATAATGAGTAGAATTTGTAAAATCTATTATTTCTGAACACTTATAATTTTAATAGGGGGTTCTCAAAGGATTTAAAGGAGAACTGATTCATGTATTTAACAAACATGATGGTGCCTTGAAGAATACAGACTACTTCAGCCAACTAAAAGACAATAGCAACATAATTCTGCTGGGAGACTCCCAAGGAGACTTACGAATGGCAGATGGGGTAGCCAATGTTGAACACATTCTGAAAATTGGATATCTAAATGATAGAGTAAGTATATAGATCTACAATTTATTGTTCTTTTATGGAAAAAATTAGGATGAAACTTTGTAGGTAATGGTGGCTGAAGACAGGTGAGAAAGCAATTTTACCCTTTTACTTTGGTGGTAACTAAAAGAGTTGATCACACATGTGTGCTAAAAGTATTGGGAGAATGGAGATGTACATTCTGACAATGGCACTGGATGCTGGGTGCTCTCCCTGGTCATGAGAATCAAAATGTCTCTAGACCTTGCCAAATGTTCCTTGGACAGAATTGCCCCAATTGAAACCCATTGACTGGAAAGAAATCATTTTGGGAAAAAAATCTGCCATGTGGAAAACCCTGTCAGTGAGCCTTGAAAGTTTGACAATCTGTTTTTATTTGAAAAGTTTTATGAAATTGAATTTATTAACATTCCATAGATTTGTAGTTAATGAGATTAAATTATTTGCTTCTCACTACATGTTTTTGTTCTTCTGTTGATTTAGGTAGATGAGCTCTTAGAAAAATACATGGACTCTTATGATATTGTTTTAGTACAAGAGGAATCATTGGAGGTTGCCAACTCTATTTTACAGAAGATTCTATAAACAAGTTTTTCAAGAAGACTTCTCTCCTGCGAGTACAATTGATACAAGAACTGCTCATCTGTCTGTCTGGCTGAAAGACTCTTATTTATAATATATTCTTGCTCTTGAAATTTTCACTTTACATAAGTGAAGTATTTTTAGACATAAAAAAAATTTTCCCACCTCTCAAGACACTCCTCACCATATTTTTTAACTGGTTAAAAAAAACTGAAACCAAAATTAGAAAATAACTCCCTACTTTCCCAAGTTTAATGTTATCATGCAGTTTTTGAGGAGTCTTTTTACTCCAGGGAAGTTTGTAAAAGTTTTAAAAGAAGTTTTATGAAATGGTGAAATAAGGTGCATGATTTTAAGTTTGGCATTTTTGTAATTTGGGTGGATTATGATGAAGGTATCACTGTCTCTTAAAGTTGTGTTACAGTTGGTTATTTTGTCTGGGAAGAAAATCAGTATTGACTAGAAAATGCTGGCATTGTAGTATTTGAAAAAACTGTTGGTGTCCACATGTCACTAATAAAATGTTCTATATTAAAGCACTGATAATAAACATGAAATGAAAAGCCTTTTTAATTCTGCTATCAAGACTGTTTATTCAGCAAATATTTTTTTAAGTGCTGCCACTTCTTTATCTCTTTCTTTATTGTGTGATTGAGTTCTAATGTCCTTACATAGTGGCTATTTATTTTGAATAGTTTCACATTTTATGTACTGTAATTCTAAGCATGAAAAGATAATTGCAGGGAAAATTAAATCTGCCTGTTAGAAAATACTGAGCCTTGTGAAAATCACTTTCCCCCATTGAAAACATCAGGAAAAGAGAGGACTCTGTTGTTAGTGTTGGAAACCAAAGTGTGGCTGGGTCTTATGGTGACTGAAACTGAGTAATAAAAAGTTAGGAAGCAACCACATTTGACCCTGACTGTAACTAATCCTTGAACTTCAGATCCTGTAGGCAACTGAGTGGTTTGCTCATGGTGTCTGAGTTGTGATGTGTGCAAAGCATGTTCTCATTGGTTCTGGCCCTCCATTGTGAAGAGCAATCTCTAGTCCTAGGGGTGCCCATCCATTTTTCCTTTCATTGTAATAAAAAGGGTATTTCCAAATTCAAATCCAAAGATAAACTTGTGCTAGAGATGTGGCTCAATGTAAGAAAGCTTTCCTGGCATGCCAGAGGCCCTGGGTTCCATCCCTAGCACTCCTCCTTCCCCCCACCCCAAATAAAAAGAAAGAAAAACAATCTGAGGCCGCAGGACCACCTGAGCCCACAAGTTTCAGACCAGCCTGGACAACAACAGTGAGACCCTGTGTCAAAACAAAAAAGAGTTGTAGACTAGAGGTACACAGCTCAGTCATGGAGTGCTCCCTCAGCCTGGTTCAATCCTTTCCAGCATTACCCATTATCACACTTTTAAAGTAAACTTGGACTAAAGCAGGTAAGCATGGGAGGATCAGAGCTACCTAGAAGGCTTCTTCACATAGAAAAGCAATTGGAAATCGCTTATCTAATGATAACACTTTACTTCCGGGATGCTGTTAGAGGGTATCATACTGGCTTTCTCCCAGAGAACTTTACGAGTGTCCATAAATAAACATACTGCATGGTATAAATGTAAAGAATACTGAAGCTAACACCTGCCTTTTTTTTTTTTTTCCTTGTGCTGGGGATCAAATCCAGGGCTTTGCACATGCCAGACGCACGCTCTACCAATATGCCATCACCACCTCAGCCTAAGACCTGCATTCTAACCACGGCTCAGTCCTGCTTAAGTCAGGTTCACACACCTGTAAAGCAAAAGCCTGGGAACATATATTCTCTACGACCCCTTCTCGTGCTCTTCTACTGGATGGTTCTTACCCTATTGTATCTCACTTCCACATGATGGTCCTGACATTTAGATTATTTATGTTCGAATTCAGCTTTTTTTTTTTCTCAAGGCATTGGGATTTGAACTCAGGGCCTAACACTTGCTAAGCAGGCGCTCTTGTGCTCTTAATCATTTGAGCCGCTCCAAATGATTCTTGTGACAGGTCTTTAAACTGTTTGCCTGAGGCTGCTTTCAAACCTTGATACTCCTGAACTCTGCCTGCTGAGTAGCTAGGATTACAGGCTTGGGCTACCCGTGTCTGTCTCAAGTTCAGTTTTTCAAAGCAGTTTAGTGTAGCCATTAAGAAATGGACTGAAGTCATTAAGAATGAGAGTTGGAGTACATGGATTTCAATCTCCTTTCTACTAAAGTGTGTTAAACTAAGGGATGATGCAGAGACCATTGCTTCGGTCTACAGTCTTGCTGTCAGGACAACTAATGAAATCTTACTTCTTTTAAAAGAAAAACAAAAGACGTAAATTACCAACTAATCTGAGATCAAAACTCAATGGTCTTACCTAAAGAGTGCAAACTATTTTCATTTGCAAATTGCCTAGAGAGTAGTATCACTTGGAACCTCTAAAATATTATCTCACTTTGAATGACTTAATTCATATATAGAACCCAAAGTTCAAACTGTATAGGTCCGAAGTCAAGTGGTGTTAACTCAACACCTATCAACAGCTGTTCCAACCAGCAGGTCAAGGCTGCCTCAAGCAGTAACAGAAATGTGTAAGGTGTGATTAAAAGAAGTGCTGCATGGCATCTCCACCCTGTATTTGGCCCCTTAATTGGTACTCAGCCTTGGTGGCAGAGCTGTAAAGTACCATATGCAAACACAGGTAAGTGCTGCATCAGCAGCATAAAGAGGCCAGCCAAGGCCACTTGCCCTTCCAGACAGTAATGCTGCTGACATGGCTGCGAATAACTGAATGGCCCCCTTATCCTCAGGAAGAATGGAAGGGCTCAGATGATACTCATCTCAACACACCAAACATGCCCTCAGATCCTTCAGTTCTACGATCCACACGTCTTCATTTCCCCAAAGAAACTGCTGCTGATTCTTCCAACCTGTCTCCACTACTGTAGAAAAGAGCCCGTGAAGACACTCAAATGGGGCCAAATAAAAATCCAGGATAGAGAATAAACGTATGGTTTATCCTCATGGGGACATGTGAAGATAATGAAGTGCTATAGGTCAAATACATTCTGAAGGGAAATTCATTTTAACAAGCAAGATTATTCCAGGCATGGTGGTATACCCCTGTAGTCCCAGCACTTGGGAGGTTGAGGCAGGACTGTGAGTTTGAGACCAACTTAGGCTACATAGACCATGTCTCAAAAGGAAAATATTATTTACCTATCTAATGCACTTAAGGAACTCCGTGAAATGAAAAACTGAGCAGCCGTGACAGGTGGAAGAGTGCTAAGGAACACTGGTGTCCAGGGCAGCAGTGGTCCAAAGGCTGTGAGCCTCTTCTTGGCTTTCCCAAACTTGCTTCTACATTGTTTTACAAACAATTATATGTGGATGTATATTTCATACATGTGCCAGTTTCCCTCCATTTGTTCCCACCATCTCAGATCCAGTCTGTTGTATTTCTCTGCACCCCAAGAGGTCAACCTGAGTACCCCAGTCCTTTCCCTCTGGCTTTGGATGGGGCACAGCTAATTGGAGCCAGTGTCAGGTCAGGGTAGGACAGAGGATGGGGCATCTGTCCCTTACTCCTGACTTGCAGTGCCAGCCAGGACTCCGGGGGTGGCTACATTCCTACATAATCTCCCACCCAGCAGCTCTTCTGCCCTGCTGCTGCCTCCCCTTGACCTTCAGGCCCAGGTGTGGTGGCCTCCTATTGCTGAGCAACACTGTTGATACTGGTATGTCAACATCCTTTTGGTGTCCTGAACCCTGTGCACACCTCTGTAAACAGACCTCTCTCTAACTCCAGGACCCCATCGCCTGCTGGCTGACCTCCCACCCGGATCCCATACAATGCTCTCCTTCCAATAAATGCAATGCAGTTCTGCCCAGCCTTTGTTAAAGGCCTTGGGTGTATTCTCGGGGAATCCGCTCCATCTTCAAATAAATGCCATCAAAGCAGATGATAAAATTCAACATTTTATGTCAGAAAAGATCAGGATTCCAACATTTTTTCCATTGAAGGAGTGCACAGCATTTTCATGAACTATCTTAGGGCTACATCATAACAAAACAGTTTAAGTTAGTACAAAAACGTTTCAAAAGGAAAACATCGATTATTTCAGGGTAAGTGCCAACACCACTTGGGAACAGAGGACGTAGGGTAGCAAGGGGGACACACTACAAGATGCAGAACAGGCTGGCAGTCACTGCTTATCTACAACAGACAAGGATCCCTAGTTGTCCCCCAAACCACCTTCTCCAGGACACAAATGAATGGCAGGAGAATGTCACCTTCGTCTGTTGGGAAGACACTTCCAGCTCTGCCAAAGTGTGAAATTCTCTGCTGACTGAGCAGAAAGGTCACCACCCCCGAGGTGTATCTATCTAACCAGCAGGAATCAGGGTGGGAGAGCGCTCTATGGCACACAGTGATGAGAGAAGAAAGAGCCAAGCAGGTAAGCCCACATGGCAAAGGCAGACTCAAATTCTCTATTCATTGTCTGAAACAACTTTTGTTGGGTCCATGAGTTTTTCTACAGGAGGCTCCTATTAACGTACAATTGGAGGATGGCTGTGGGGTAGGGCGTGATGAAGTAGAAGAGGACAATGGGGGGATCTGTGTACAGGGGAAGGCGGGTGGCATCACCAGTGCTGAGAAAAGCCGCAGGTGTTGTGTGGGAGTCTTGCTGGGGCATGGGGCCCTTGGTCTCTCTTGCCCATGTTGAGAACATTTTTAAGGCACCAGCAAATTAAAACCATTTGAATTTCTTTAGGTAGACAACTGGACACTTCTGTTCCCTCCAAGACGTTATAACTTTTACACAATGCTTTTTTCCTTTTATAACGAAATTTCCCGGAAGACTCAGAAATGGTGGGCAGCACAGCCTTTCCAACACTTCACACATTCCATCTAAAGCACTCCGCACAGATGCTATCCGCCTTGAGTTCTCACCGTGGACGTCCACCCACCCTGATGTACGCACCAGGTACCTTGCGACCCACCTACCACTGCTAATGATGCGTCTTCCTAGAGACCCTCACACCCTCACTGCATGTTCTGCCACAACAGGTGGCTTGGTGTCACGCACTCCCTGGCACCAACTGGCTCATGTCAGATTTAGAGTTCATCGTGCTTGGCCTCCTGGTCTTTGAGTTTAAATTCCTCAGCTGTGACCTTCCCATCTCCATTCCGGTCCTGGTTGGTGAACATATTTTTCACGATCATCTCAGCATCAAAGCCAGGAGCGAGTTTCCCTTTGCCAGAGGCCACCTGGGTGTGAATGTACTCTGAGAACTGGAGACAAAGGGGACAGGACAGATGTGAGATAGAGCAGCCAAGAATACAGAACCAGGTCCTAAAATACAGCCAAGTGTGATGGGGTCTAGAATTGGAGTCTGAGCTTCTCAAACAGAGAAGCTTTGCCTGAGAACCATGTGACTGGAATTCCTTTTCAGGTGCAAAACCCCTGGACTAAAGGACTCCGAGAGTCCTTAGGTTCCCGGTAGCCAACACACAGGAGCCATCAGAGCAATCCCTCCCCGCCACTTCCGGCCCCATCATGCGTGCATGAGCAGGGCTGCATGTACACATTCACGCATTCATTCACACAGTAAAGATCTACTGACTGCCTACAGGTGCTGAATCCGTTCCAGACCCTTGGGAGTTTTTGGTGGCACTCAGGGTCTCACGCTTGCTAGGCAGAGATACTCTTACCACTTGAGACACTCCACTAACCCTTTTATGAAATGGGTATTTTCAAGATAGGGTCTCCCAAACTATTTGCCCGGGCTGGCTATGAACCGCGATCCTCCTGATCTCTGCCTCCTGAGTAGTTAGGATTACAGGCATGGGCCACCAGCAGCCAGCTTAGACCTTTGGGATTTATCAAACACTAATAAAACAAATGCCCTGCCCTTGTAGTGACTATTCTAGTGGAAAAGATGGACAATCAAACATGAATGCAACCAGGAAGTAAATTACGTATCAAGTTACAAAGTGGAATGCTCCAGAAAAAAATGAAAAAATGTGGTCAGGGTAAAACCTCAGGATCGGGGAAACTTGTGCAAAAGATTAAAGGAAGTGAGGCAGTGAGCCAAACAGTTATCTAGGGCAAGTGTATTCTGGGCAGAGATGGCAGCTTGTGCAAAGGCCCGGGGTAGAGGTATGCCTGGTGGCATGGTCGCAGGATGGCAGGAGGCACTGGTGAACACGTGGTGAAGAGCCTTTACAGGCCACATGGATGCCCGGGAGATGGGGGTTCTGCAGGGTCTGGGAGGTGACCATGACTACACTTCTGTTTGAGAATGACCAAGATGCCTGAGTGCTCTCCCCTGAGCAACTGGAAGGACAGATTTGCCACTGACCACCATGGAGGCTCAGGGGGAAGAGGCCTGAGCAGGAGGTGCCACTGAGGCAAAGGGCACCTGAAGACAGCACAGTGCCCTGGAAGCTAGGAAAAGCATCCCGCAGCAGATGGCCATACTGAAGTAAGGGGAGAGGAAGGACCAACAACAGGTTAGCAGTATGGAAGGCACTGGACATCATGACAAGGCCAGGGTCAGTGGTATAGTAGACAAAAGCCTAGTGGAGTGGATTTAAGACAGAATGGGAAGCTGGTGCAGTGGCGACTGCCTGTAGTCTCAGTGGGTCAGGAGGCTGAGATGGGAGGATCACATGAGCCCAGGATTTCGAGAGCAGCCTAGGCAACATAGTGAAGCCCCCATCTCTTAAAAAAACATAGTGTGGTGGTGCATGTCTGTAATTCCAGTACTTGGGAGGCTGAGGCAGGAGAACCTCGAGTTCAAGGTGAGACTCTGTCTCAAAAACAAAAAAAGAATGGAAAATACTAGTACGTTTGTGTGCTAACAGGAATGATCTAGGCGCTGTAGGAGGGAAAGGGGAGAAGGCTGGAGCATGTGCTTAACTAAGCAGACATGAAACAGGCAGAGGCTGGATCTACCCAGGGTGTGACGCACAAAGGACCAGTGCCCAAGTCCATGAAGGAACACAGGGCCCTGGCTCAATCCACTGGGGCTCTGGGTGACTATGGGTGAGTCACTTATCTTCTCTGCATGGTTCTTCTTCTGAAACATAGGACGATTACATGGCTGTTGTGAGTGTGAAAACACTGAGGCCTTGCAGACCTGCAGTGGGCCCCAGAGCAGGAACTGAACCCTGATCTGTGCTCTGCAATGAACCCTGAACCTCTCAGGCTCAGATTCTTCAGCTAAGCTTCAGTTCAGAGGGTGTGGGTAAAGCCCTAAGCACCAGCATTGCAAGAAACCCAGCATAGCATCCTCCTCACCCTAAGAAGGCCTCAGTGCAGAACGCCGCCACTCCATATGGCTGCCTGAGCAACCTCTGACCCACAGCCCTGCAAAGGCCAGTTACCTCTTCCAGGAAGACTTCTCCGTTGCCATCCTTGTCGATCTCTTCAAAGAGGTTTGGGGATACCTCGCCATTCCATATGAACATGTACCCCTCTGGCAGGCCAGCCACCAGCTCCAGCAGCTCGATGTCAAACACCAAGACAGCGCTGCCAGGTACTTCTCCATCTAACCAAGCATCAGGGTGGGATATGGGTTAGCCTGGTGGTCAAGCCTGCCCACCCGCTCCCCTCCCTGGCCCACGGCCACACCCTGGGCAGGCATTGCTTTAGAACACAAGGTGGAAGACATGACTACAGTAGTGACCACTTAATGGATTATGGGATCTGCTTAGAGAGAGGTAATCAGATTTTTTTTTATTTAAATAAAGGAATAAAATAAACCAGGTGCCAGTGGCTCACGCCTATAATCCTAGCTGCTTAGGAGGCAGAGATCAGGAGGATCGTGGTTCAAAGCCAGCCCAGGCA